AATGAGAAATATGAAACAAATAAAATAAAACACATACAAAGCAGAACACAGCTAAATGTATCAAAAGTATGTCTATGTAATAGTAGAATTTTCTGAGACAATGCACTTTGGTTTTTCAGGGTTTTTTTTTGTTTGTTTATTTGTTTGTTTGTTTTTTTTTGTCTTTTACCAGTAAGATGTTTTTATTTAACAGAATTTTTGGACAAAAAAATCGCAATATATCACAATATATCGCCTTGTTTACAGTATCGAAATATATCGGGATATATCGTATTGTGACCCCTGTCATGATATGTATCGTATCGCCAAATTCTTGCCAATACACAGCCCTAATAATGAGAGGACATTTGTTCCTATGACAGTAAAATGTATTCAAAGGTAAATGCATCTTCTTGCAACACAAACAAAGCTTGAATGTTTAACAACTTCTCAGCATCTCAGAGTGATTTTCTGCCTTAAAACATGTATTTTGGTAAATAATGAGTAATGTCTAAGAGTCACAATGTGGGGTGTAACTGAATTTACACAAAATGTCTTAAAAAATGCTCAAGTCTGACTCACTGACTCAACTTCTACAGAATTCACATCACTTCTTTATGTTTCCATCAGCACCAGCAGGTACCATGGTCTCACCTGTGTCTTCAGGGATGAACATGGTGCAGAGGCAGGCGGAGCCGGCGAGACACAGAAAACAGGCCATGCTTTTTCTCCTCCCAGCCCTAAGCAACAACACAATGGAGAGTTTCACATTTTTACGCAAAAAAAAAAAAGATCTAGGTTTACACAAAAGTTAAGAACCATCTTGGCTAAATGTTTGTCTTCTTTTCAAAGTTATATCATTTATATATAATTTAATTACACAAATTTATTCTGAGCAGTACTGAGACAGTGTAAACAAATGTTTGATAACACAATCAGCCTGACCCAGTTCTTAAAACATGATAACCATAAAACAAACTAACAGTTTTCTATAATAGTAATGTTGAGATGTGCCCCAAAAACAACGAATTCACAGAAAGCTTATCCTTGGTCAACAATTACATTACCTAAGTTTTTATTCTTAAGTTGAGTGCACGTCTTTTGAGTTTTGTGATCATATTTTTGGTTTAAACAATGCACACAGGACCAGAAGAGCATATAATCATTATTTATTTTAAATAATTGCTCTAGGTGGCTTTTCTGCTTTGTTGTTCATTTATTTATTTATTTGTATCTAAAGACTTTTTTAATTCTCAACAATTAAAATAATTACAATTCAGTTTGGACTCTCAGGTAACCCAACCTGAAACCATCCTTTAAAAAAATAAATATATGACTTGGTTTTGTCTTTCTAATATTTTATGTTTGTTTGATTTTATTACTTCATGTTCAAATACAATTTTAAATATACAACTCAACTGCTGATAACCATGTTAGTTTTCTTCACACCAGGAAAATCCTTTGGTCCATTTGTTTGGTCCGGACTAAATAGCAGACTTTATTTTCTTTTCCTTTGGTGCGGTTTGCATTCACATTGTGCTTTTTGCAAGTGGATTAGAATTTATAAACAAAGCCACACAGGTGCCAAATGACGGAGGCAGGACAGAGGACAGACCCAGAAATAAAGATGGTGACAACTGACTATTAAGAATATGAAGAGCAGCTCATTCAGTGGTGGTTTTGCAATGATAAACTTATAATTCTCAAACAGCTTTGTCAAATACAGTGGTTTGCWAAAGTATTCATACCCCTTGAACTTTTCCATATTTTGTCACATTACAACCACAAACATAAATATATTTCACTGGAATTTAATGTGAAAG